ATAATTACTTGTGTTTTCTTGTTAAAATCAAAAATAGTATTTTTACAAAGGTCTATATTCTGGTAAAGAATTAGTGCTTCGATAGTTATGTAAAATATCAGTTTACTAAATTATCCGAATATTAATATGTTTCACTTTGTAGCTTACCTTATCTTTACTTAATATTTAAAGTTTGGATAGAAACTACAATGACAATTTGGCTACTTTACTGCAATTTAATAATTATAAAACTTTAACTATTAAAGTATCCAATAAATCTATATACAGTTAACTTCTGCGTGCTAAAATTTCCATTTTACAGTATATTTTAGATTTTTTAGGAAGTTTAGTTTAAAAAGTTTTACTACATATTTATTAACAAAAATTATAAATGTTTTAAAACTTTGTATTTAGTTTATATAAAGTTAAAAATTTAGTTTGTCTATGCTTAGCTTAAAGTGTTGACTGTATATTTAAAATTTCTGGGATTATGCTTTTGTGTATATTCGTGCGTTATTGTTTTCTGGGGTTTAACAACAGAGAATTACAATTTTATAAATTCACATTAATTTGTTTTGTATATAACTGTATATGTTTTTCATCATTTTTCAACTAATTTGCTTTGAAATTAATATATGTTAAACCTCTCAAAACTGATATACATGGTGCAGGTTTAGTATTAAAAGGTTATCAGATTTGAAAACGCAAACTATTAGAATTATATAGCAGAAACAAACCTGGCAGATTAATTTTTTGCAATTTGATAGGTTATCAGTATTAACAAAATCAGTTTTGAGAGGTTTAATAGTATGTATAAATTTAAAAGTAACACACATTAGCTATACAATTAATACCAATATGAACAATGAGAACACCACAACAAATATACCAGCAACAAAACTTACAGCATCAAATGAAATAGAAGAAATCTTTAAACATCTACAAAATAATAATATATATACAACATTCAAACCCTCTGTAGTATACATAAATACAGGACCACCTAAATCTTCTTTATCGGTTTGCATATCTGTAATTATCAAACGTTCAGATATTCTTTTATTTTCATCCCAATAAAATCCATTAAAAGCTATTATATATCCACAGGTAACATGTGTACCAAACCCTGAATGGCATATGTGACCTCCAGGGATAGTTTCACTTTCTTTTTTAGTATCATGTATACGTAGCTCTTGATAAAGTTGATCTCTTATAGTTGGTAACCTTTTAATTTTGGACTGACTTGTCATCTGGATTTCAGCAAAATTGTATGGATTCGCAAAATTCGGGAGTTCCATGGTACCCACAGATTTCGTTTTATACGTAGGAAGATTCGAATTCCATGGCAGATGTAAAAATGTTTTTCCTTTGGTAGTGGCATCTCCTTCAAAGCAATAATTTCTTTCGGTTATGACATAAGTTTTGTAATTACCCAATTTTTTACTTTTAATTCTTTTGTTGGAACGTACAAAAAAACCAGCCGAACATGTCTTTCTTCTTTTATAAAATTCATGAAAAATACCATCACCAGCTCTGATTGTTACATTTATTTCTGCTGTAAGATTTCGTTTATGTAGTTCCTCGCTTGGACCAGGATGTTTGGCATTTGTTGTTTTGTTAGGTGGACCCCGAAAGACATCATTATTTCTTATTTCAATATAAATATAATGGTCTCTTAGCGGAAATAGTTTGTCTCCATTAGCCCAAGTATTAAAATCAACTTCCAATTCATCTAGGGATTTATTCACGATATAACTGGATATACTCTTCTTAATGTGATTGACCTCAATTAATAAACTTTTTTTATTTGTATGTTTTTGATTTATTAATATT